AATAATAATAATAATATAGGCTAAATTTCAGGCCCGGGCCCAGGCTCGGGCTTCGGGCTTTTTATGAGGGCCGGGCTCGGGCCCAAATTGTAGGCCTGATGGTCGGGCCGGGCTCGGGCTCGGGCTCGGGCCTTAAATTTGTTAATACATAATAAAAGCCCGGCCCGGCCCATGAACAGGTCTATTGGTTGGTAGATGGTTCGGAATAGTTGAACGTGAATACGTGATGATGGCTGTTCAGCTGGCTGTGGAACCAATGACAATGATCCACACCAGTAATAAATTCATAGGCCCCACTGTGAAAGGTATGGGTCCCGTTTATTTTATTACCGATGTGGAACATTTATCATAGGTTCCACAGCCTGCTGAACAACCATTTGTTCAGTTAATCCTTGCTCGAGTCATTGGTAGAAGCATAGAACAAAATAAAATAAGACACCTAATCTCGAAAGCAAATTTTTTACCGAAAAAAAACATGTGAAATTGCCAATTGAATTCCACAAAACATTAAAATAAAATCACTTTAGCAAAGCATGTCTTCTTGCATGGGATATGAGTGGAATTAAAAGAAGTCATCAGGCACAAGGGCATACAATAAAGGGAATCATGTGAAAATGGTGTGAACAATACATGTTGATCACTCATGTTGATTAATACCTCTTTACTGTGGTTTAACCATGATACTAGAAAAACTAATAACCAATGAACCAGTATAATAAAAGTGGTAATCAATAAGTGTAAGAAATAGGTTGATTCCACATGGAGTGAACCTCGAACTGATCTTGATAAGGTCAATTTCAATCAGTTCTTAAGTAGGGTTTAATTCAAAATTCTTGGAACCAACCCCCACCCAAGACAATTCTAGGGCCTAAGAACCAACACAGAGAACCGGCCTTGATTGGCCTTGGTGGAACCAGTCTAAGTATAATTTAATTCGCATATGGGTTTGATAGATTATGCATTAAATATGTTATACTATGTGGGTTGATTGTAGATTGTATTTAAGGCTCAGTTCGGAAAGAGTACAAATACAAATATGTGGTGTAAATACATACAAAATATAAGATTTTGCGCTATACATATTTGCATTTGTATTCCTTCCAAACTCAGCCCAACTAAATTATTGAGTTGAGCGAAGTTGGATTATGGGTTAATAATCATCATGTGAATTCATTTAGATTGCCCATGGGCCATGTTTTATTTTCTTTAAGGTTAAATGGTTATATGGATTTGAAATGTAGTATGTTCGTGATAGATTGTTATTCAAAGGACAGATGTTTGCATCCAGACTTAAAACGGTCTGTTTTAATGAATTCCTTTCCTACATGAAGTGAAAAGACAAGAAAAGAAAAAAGGGGGAGGAAAAGGTCAATACACGTCAGACCGTGCCTTTTTCAGATTTTCTTAACTAAATGCCATCAAGTTGACATTTGGATTTTAGAGAACAATTAAATACCAACACGGTTGATTATCCTACTTTAGCATAACCAAAATTGAACGCTCTACATTTTTTTTTGATAAATATTGAACGCTCTACATGTTGAACAGGAAGATTTAAACATAGAGAAAGAAACAGGAAAAGCAACAAAAACGAAGAATGAAACACAAGATAATATGTTAGGATTCTTTCTCACATCCACACTATTCAAGCCAACGAACAACTCCATCTTCTTCACCAACAGCTGCAAGAATCTCAATCTGAACATCCAAAACAGCCTGAATTACATGACAACAGGTGAATTAGGGAACAGTAGCACTATGGGATGGCGGATACCCTAGCAAAACAAGGGGCAAATAGATCTACATTGTACTGGGCAGAACTGTAACAGATTGTTTGTGGGTGCAGATTAGATTAATGCTTTTCTGCTACCTATAACTTTTGTAACTGATTGTAACTTTTGCTGCTTTATTAATAAAAATTTTCTTGTTGATCAAAAAAAATCAGGAAACAGTAACACTGTTCATGAGAGACAACTGATCAGCATTGTAAATGTTGTAACTCATGCACCACAATATGCGGTAAAAGCAGCTAAGGAAAAGGAAAACAGCATAAATATTGCATACGGTTGTAAAACATGGAACCATGAAAAAATAGCAAAGACATGTAACCACCAACCAGAATCCACTGAAAAAGCAGATTGGAAGATCATCACTGAAGCATCCAACCTGAGGAGTTTTTAGCACAATCCCTTCTAAAAAAGTTGAAATATGGAGAACTAGATGGTGAAAACTTTGGACCACAAAGATAAGGAATTAATATTTAATGCAAGTTTGTGGAAGCATGCAGAAACAGTGTAAACTTGTGGAAACTACTTTAATAAGGAATGAAAAATAGGCATTATTTACTGGAGTGGAGTAGGCAAGCATCTCCCCCACCACCAAAACAAAAGGGGAAAAAAGGAAATTAACTTACCAGTGGATTCCTACAATTGACAAGCCTACATTCCTCCAATAAAGAGCCTTCCAACATCCAACTCTCCCAAACATCAAAGCTGTGACTAGCAAATACAAATTCCATTTTTCTATTTATCTGTCATGCCAAAACAAAATTTTCAGATTTATCTTCAGGACATGAAAATTTCTATTGGTAAACTGTAAAAATTTGGAACATGCAAATGGAATCTTCAGAAGAAAAGACTCAAGCAAAGTCTCATAAAGATAACCAAACCACCAAAACATGATCAGAAACGGGAATTTTTATTACCAAGGTGAGGAAATTATCGATTGTACATGCAATAATTAATTAACAAATGTTGACTGTACAATTATTTCTTGAATTTAAATACACAAGTCTCTATTGCTTATCAAATAAAAAAATATGTGATCACAATTTCAAGTCTATTATTTACAATGGGGCTGCAAGAAACTTCAAAGTTTGCGATTAGTTACTACTATTTCATTGTTAAGAGTTACTACTTTTCAATTTTCAAACTAGTTCAATAATCTTTAAGGGCACCCAATGTGGTGCCGGTAAGTTAATAATGGCAACAAGCCAACAACCAACAGAATTCTTCATCGGTCCACAACAATGATGTGTATTAACATAGAGAAAACACCAAGGGGTAAGACATAGCCATAGATTGACATAATGTCACAAGTAGTTAAATACCCAATTGCTCTCAATCACACAAATAGGGGTGGCAAATGGGTGGGTTGGGTTGGATTGGGTGTGGGTTGAGTACCAACCCACCAATGACCCATGTTCATCGCTTGTTAGTGGGTCACAACCCACGCACATGGACCCATTTTTTTTCTTTGATAAATAAAATTCATTAAATTTCATTAGAAGCAAAGGATAAATGTCTGTTACAAGCATCCCAGTGGGAGGCGTGAGGTGCAGCCTCACTCTTAAACAAAGAAATAAAACAAATTTACAAATGGGCCCAGTACATCTGATCCCTAGTTGTCCCTTGCTTAGCTAGAGAATTAGCAAGTGCATTAGCCTCCCTTCCCACCCATTGTATAGTTAATTCATTGGTTGTGTTGCCCATTTGAATTTCATCATTTCATTTCAGTAACACCAGATCACTGAATCTGGTCTTTTAGCCAACCCACCACCACCTTGGAGTCCCCTTCTATCACCAATTTCTCCACACCCAACTCTTGCAATATGGGTGCCTTGTAGGGCTGCATATAGTTCTGCCTTTAAAGAGTCTCCATTTTCCATTGGTCCTGAAATGATGGCTCTTAAATTTCCTTCCTTGCCTCTTATAGCCCCTCCTATTCCAGATGGACCTGGGTTGCCTTGACTACTTCCATCAAAGTTTAGTTTCAAACAATCTTCAATGGGAGATTCCCAAATCATCCTTGCTTTAACCTTCTGCACTAAGCTAGAAGCTACCAAAATCCAATTCCTCCAAATATCATCAAATGAAAAAGTTTTGAACAGTTCCAGAGTTTGTAGCCAATGTATAACCCTGGTCATTACGCACTCCATAATTTGTTGTTTACTTCTTTCTCTTGGAAGATTCTGGCATCTCTTTCTTCCCATTATGTCCATACCACTATTGCTCTAGTGCATCTCCACATTATTCTTTCCTCTCCTCTTCAGCAAAACAATGGTAGATGGATCAAACAACATTTTAATCTCCATTGGCATTTTAATCCCAAACAAAGAGAAAAACCAATCCCGTTAACCCACCCTTGTTAGTGGGTCTCTCTCTTTTTTCCTCTTCTCGTCCTCCTTTCTCTCCTCCTTTACTCCATCATCCCTTGGCATTCACAGAAGCAGGGAGCTCACCACCTCTTTCTCTCCTTCGTTGAGCTTCGCTGTTGACCAAACCCTCCCTGTTTAGTCATTGCTGGAAGTGAACATTCCGCCATTGCCAGTTTGTCCAATTCCACCAGCATCCACTGCAACTCTTTGTTCTTTTCCGGTTTTCCCCTTTGACCCTATGGGTACCCTTGACCCAACCACCCTCCTTTGACCCTATGGGTACCCCTGACCCAACCCACCCTGTCCCTAATGGCAGAGTGTTCAATGACAAAGAAAGAAATAAGGAAGCAGTTCTGGATTGCATTTTATATAGAGCTTTAATGTGGGCCAAGTCCCTAAAGTTATTTTCTGATTTCTCCTTTGATGATATGCGGAGAAATTTAGAAGCTGTAGCTAGAAGTTGCGCTACAAGGGTTAAACCTGTTGTGGGCTGAAAACCACTGGATGAAGGATTCATCAAACTGAATTTTGATGGCAACAGCCTAGCACATGGTTTTCAAACCGTCGTTGACCAGGATGGTCAAACCGTTTGGCCCGGGAACCATCCGGCAACCGGTTCCATTTTACCCCAAACCCAGTCCCTGGACAAAAACCGTTGTGAATCAGTCAACGACCCGTTGACCCGGGTGGTCGAATTGTCGACCCATTGACCCGTCCAACAGTTTTTGGCCACTTTTTATTTTTTGTCAGAACGGGCCATTCGTTCAAACCGGACGGTCGAACTGTCGACCTGGAAACAGGTGGCCAGAACGGTTCCGTTTCTGGGTCGCTTTTTAAAACCATGGCCTAGGGAACCCAGGCCCGGCTGGTATAGGGGGAGTTTTTAGAAACTATGAAGGTCATGTTGCTGTGTTCTCAGATCCAGTTGGAGTAGGGGACTCGGTTTTTGCAGAGTTCCAAGCTGTCTTGCAAGGAATACGGATTGCTAGAGATTTAAATTATGATAGACTGTTAATTGAAGATGACTCTAAACTGGTAATAGGGTGGTTAAAGGAATTGGAAATACAAAGAATATATGAAAAGATTTTAAGTGGCTGGTCAGAGATATGACAATTTCAGCCCAATGGGAAAGACGGTCAGATAACGGGATGGCTGATTTCTTTGCAAAACAGGTGCATAAATCTGAATTATTCTGGGCTCAGTTGTAATCTGTTTATATAGCCAATGCTGCATCTCACGCCTCGGCTGGATGTACTCTGTAATCATGTGATACTTAATTATGCTCTAATAAAATTCTATCATTTATCAAAAAATAAAAAATAAAAAAGTGGGTCAAATGGGTTAGTGTTAAAATTGCCGGCCCTAATCACAAAAACACTGTTAAGCACTTACTCCTGCTTTCTGAGCTAATTACATTTGAAAGCATACTCTGTCAAGAGCACTATACATACAGAGAGCTAGCCATTTCTTCTACATAATCTTATGTCCTTTACAGGGAAGAACCAATGCTATCATGCAGAACCATATGATTGGAAATAATGTTAACCCCAACTGACTCTAGAATAACTAAGAGCAGGCATTAAACACTACTGACACCATCAGCCACAGAAAATGCAACTTTGGGTTACCATTTGAGGAAAAAGGGAAATTCTGATGACACCTTCCATCATGACCTTAGGAAATTGGGAGTAACTTAATTGCCCTTCTTAAAAGCCTAAAGATGTTTAGATTCCAAGAGGGCGTGGATTCTCAAACCTAAATTTGCATTTTCTAATAACTTGATGCCATTACAAGTATGTGCTTATTATCTTTAAATTTAAAACATCTAAATTCGGCGACTTACTAGAATCATTGCTATCACAGTGGATAACATCATGAGGGAAAGGACTTAGATCAGTTCTTTTTTTTCCTTTTTTGAGATCAACACGAACTTAGCTCAGGACTTCAGTTTAAACACCATTGACACTTCGAGCTACATGATAAAATTTTGGGTTTCCATTTGGGGAAAAAAGCAAGGAACATTATTTTGAAATGCTGAGGTGTGACACAAGGTGTTCCACTAGCTTTAGGCATGAGCCGTAGTTCAGAACAAAAGAGGCGTAAGCCTCCCAAGCACAAAGAGGTGTAACTGCATGAGCCTCCTCAAAATGAGGCTTCTTCTTCTTTCTTCCTTTTTGCATGGCAGCATGAGGAGGTATATGTCTCAGAGGTATCCATGCCTCCAGCATACGCCTGAGGGCATTTTGACTGTGCCTCAATCCTTTCATTCAAGATCAAGTCTGGTTTCCATGATGATCCTTTTTTTCCAATAAGAAAGTATGGGTGCTAGCTGGTCCTCCTAAGGTTAGGGTATTTGTAATGGGAAGTGGGAAAATCAAAATCAAAATACAATTTTCTCCACAGAAGAACGGTGTACAGGGCCATAACTTTCAACGTAGGCCCCCATTGCTTAGGGGATGGTGAAATAAACAACTACCTTATTTATTGTGAGGTTAGTAGATCAATTTGGAAAATTTTCCTGAAATTAGTAAATCAAAAATAGGACTTTATTGAAGAGATACTGCCTGGTTGTTCCTTTTTATAAGCACGGTGAAATCCATTGTAGAAAGTAGAATGCATCCACTCACAATCATGTGGTGTGCTTTCTCAAAGAAGAAAATGATAACTATCTAGAAACTCCGTTTCAAAATTCAGATTTCAAACAATAAATAAAAAGGTTACATTATTCCCTTTGCTTCTCAATGTGAAAATGAAAAAAAAAAAAAAAAACTCATACTTAAATGTGTGGAAGCATTCTTTTCTAGTTTACCAAATGGGCCCGGATTACCTATAGAGCTTCCATCAAAGTTCAGTTTTACCCTTTGTTGTGTTGGCGGGGACCAAACTTCTTATACCACAGCTTTGGATGAAGTTGTAGCTGCCACAGTACCCCAATTTCTGTAAATGTCTTCAGCTGAGAAGTCCTTAAAAAGATCACAAGATTTCAACCAATAGATAACCTTAGTGGTTACTCCTTCCACAACCTCTTCCTTGGATCTACAAATACCTTTGAAGATCCTATTAGTTCTTTCCTCCCACACTGACCATAATACAGCAGCTCTAGTGGCTCTCCACATAACCTTTCCACAAACCTTTAGTTGCCTGCCAAAAAGATGGATCAAAGAGGTTCACCACACTTGGGGGGGAGGGGAGGAGTCCACTTGCAACCAAAGAGAGATAAGATAACCAAGACCAAATAAAGAACACAAAGGGATATGAAGTGTGAGATTGTCTCACTAGAACCCAAGCAAAGACTACAAACATGGGGGGAGAGGCACATATTTGGCCTCCCTTTTTTGAAATAAATCCAAGGTATTAATTTTTTGGAGTACCACTTCCCAACAAAAGGCCTGAATTTTTGGAGGTATAGGGCTACCCCACATCTCCTTTGAAGGAAAGCTCCCTGCAAGGTTAGAGGTCTGAAGCAAAATGTTGTAGAAAGAAGAGCAGTTGAAAAAACCAAAAGGGGAAAGTTTCCAAATTTCTGCTATCCCTACAAGACTGATCTAGAAAGACTTCCCCTAACTGAGTGATTAAATCATCAACTATCCCCATTTCAGAATCCCTTACACCTCTTCTCAAGCCCAAATCCCAGGAGTTATCAGCAAACACTGAAGAGATCACTTTTCTTTTGTTTTCTAACAAGGAGTAAACAGAAGAGAATTTATCTCTAAGGGAGTTTTCACCAACCGAAACATCTTCCAAGTTCCAAAACAAGATTATTTCCCGCACAGACATCATATTTGAAATAAGGGAGCATAAGAGGCAAAATACCATGAATAGCTTTCAAGGAGAACACCAAGAAGCCCCAGGGTCGAATACTAACAATCACTCTTGACCATAATTTGTCATGTTCCATTAGTAGCCTCCAAACCCTTTTTCCCAGCAAAGTTGTATTTCTTAATCTTATATTTCCTAACTCAAGGCCTCCATCACCCCTACTCGTAGAAACCACCTCTCACTTCTAAGTGATCCTTCTTAGTGTCCTCTAGTTCCCACAAGAAACCCCCCATTATCTTCTCTAACCGTTTTGCAACTTTCACTGGTACTCTAAAGGTAGACAAGAAATAAACTGGAAGATTAACCAAGGTTGACTTAATTAAGGTTATCCTACCCCCTAAAGAGATGTAAATCCTCTTCCAAATTGCTAACCTCTTCGAAAATCTTTCAATCATAGGGTACCAAAAGCTATCAACCATTAGGTTCCCTCCTAGTGGTAGCCCCAAATATTGTAATGGCCAGTCCCACACTTCACACCCCAAAATTTTTATCCCTATCATCTTGCATTGGAGGAGTTTTGAGGAACAAGAATGGCAACATCATATTCTTATTCTTAGGCCCAGTAGGGATAGGGGACTCTACAAGAGCTGACATATTGGCTATAGTACAAGGAATTCAGATTGCTAATCAAGTAGGACTGGAGAACTTATTAATTGAAGGGGATTCTTAGGTGATTGTGGGTTGGCTGTCAAATCCAGACTCAATTCTTTGGAGTTATAGGGATCTCATAAAAAAAGTTAAATGTTTAACAAGGCACATAACACGTAGATATCAATGGGTGGGCAGGGAGGCAAATGCCTTGGCTGATTATCTTGCTAAACAAGGGTATGCTAGAGATCGTTTATTTTTGACAGCATTGTAATTTTTATTTCTGACCTCTAGTAATGTTTAGGGGAGGCTGCACACCGTGCCTCTCCAAGGGATTCTTGTAAAGTTTCATTTCTCTTGATTAATGAAATCATTTTCAATTATTGAAAAAAAAAAGATTGGACTTCTTTTCAAACTGAAGCACAAGTCTCCTTAAGTTCTGTATTTCTTAAACTTCTTTTCTTTCCACCCTCAGACAACTTAGAGGTTGTCCTCCAACATCCTGTCTAAACTATCATTCACTAACTAAAGAAAACCTATTGAAAATGTAAGTACCTGCAATAATTTTCCACCAGCAGCAAAAGATCGCAATCCAATCGTATCCTGAAAAAATAAAAAAGCAGAAAGAGAAATCAAATATGCATGTTATTGGCAAACACATACATGTGTTATAAATTACAAAAAGAAGGTTCTTCATGCACCTTGCTTCTGAAGACAACAAGAAATTGTGCCGCAGGATCCCTTTTTGTCACGTTAGATATGGTGTCAAGGAACCACCCACCACCAGGGACTCTTTGTCTGGACACATGAAAAGTAGGACAATCTCTTGCATGTAATGCTATAACATATCCATCTTTAAGTAGTTGAACAGACTTTCCGTTTGGCATCATGTTCAATTTTAGATGCTTCTCAGAAGTTGATCTTGGCATGGATTCAGATGGGGTTTTCCTACTTCTAGAACTTAACACTTCATCTGTGCCACTCATGGCAGTACCATCTCTCTGTGAAGTAGAATTACTGTCTCTGTCTAATGCAGAAGGCTCATCTGACTTCTGTTGGGATTTATGACGAGTATGCCTCTTTTTACCCTTCTTACTAGACCTACTATGTCTTCCTTCAGAATGAGTGATGGTATTCTGGGACAAACCTGAAGGCCCTGAAACTTGAGGCTGGCTGTTGGATTCCCCCGATTGGAAAATCCCCTTTTTTTGGTGGTTTTCTGGACTTAACTGGATATCACCTGTCATCTGCTCACCAGCACAAATCTGTAAAGCGCTCTCCTTGTCTTGTTTTTCAGACTGTTCATCTTCATAGCCTGCTTCACTTACTTCATCTTCCTCATCAGATATAGCATTATTTGGAATAATTCCATCACAGAAAAATGTCTGCAACATAGAAATAACTTTTTCCCTTATCTCCATCCATACTTCTTCACTATAATCTGCACTATGGGGAAGAATCAAGACATTTGGCATCTCTCGTACCTGAAGCACAATCAAAGTTGGAAGGATCAGCACCATAGTTGTGCAATCGGTATGACCCACTGTTAAAATATACAATTTTAATGAAATCACCTTTCGGAAATTCAAACCTTACCTGTGAATCCCAGAGAAATTGTGATCAGATAATGGGATTAAAAGTTGCTATCTTTCCCCTAAACAAAATTTTAGCTTTAAACACTGAACTCCATGCTCTGCTCAAAGGCCTGAAACTAGCCTACTTTATGGGCAGAAACAGCCTCTTGGTGGAAGGTGATTGTCAAGATGTAATAGGATGGTTCCTTTACTTGTGCTTCATTCTTTAAAGCCCTAACCCAACCAGCTGTTTCTCTTGGGCTGTCCTTCCCAATTAAAGAGGTGTGGTTCAACCTAATCCTCTGAAGGTTGGGAGATTTTGTTGGGAAGCCTTTCTGGAAAGAGTTAATACAGGAAATTTGCTTCAGCGGAAAAGACCCAATAAATGTTTGTCCCCTCATTGGTGTGTCCTATGTAAAGCTGATGGTGAGTCTGGATATCACTTACTTATTTCCTGTCAGTTCGCAAATTTTATTTGGGAATGGTTTACTTCTTTGTTTGGGTGCAGGTGGACTCCCCCAATGAATGTGCAAAGCCTGTTTACTTCCACCCCTTCTATCTGGCCAACAAAAAGGGCTAAGGTTATGTGGAGATGTGTCAGGGCTGCAATTTGCTGGACTATCTGGGAAGAAAGAAATTCAAGGATTTTTCAGAAAAGGAGAGAAGTTTGGAAGTAATTCTGGAGGTAACTCATATAAGGGTGACACATTGGTTAAAAATTCTGAATATGCTTTCAGATTTCTTAGTAGATGATTTGCTTAGGAAGTGGGAGGGAAATTGCACAGTCAGTACCAGTTATGATGGTCCCTAGTTCTTGCTGGAACCCTCCACCTCCTGGTTTTGCAAAACTGAATTTTGATGGCAGCAATATGGGCAACCCAGGGCCCTCCGGAATAGGGGGAGTTTTACGAGACGAAAAAGGGAACCTACTAGCCATGTTCTCTGGCCCAATTGGAGTGGGAGACTCCTTGAGGGCTGACATACTAGCAGCTCTAGAAGGGGTACAAAGGGCTAAAGATATGAATATCAGCAAACTGATCATAGAAGGAAACTCTGAAATCGTGGTGAGTTGGCCAAAAGATGACAATTCCAGGCTCTGGAACTACAGCAATGAAAAGAGGAAATTCAATTGGCTGTCTAAGGATATTGAGGTTCAATGCACTTGGGTAAAGAGAAGTGCAAACTCATTTGCAGATGGTCTAGCTAGGCAAGGGGTGAACAGGAACTCTATCTTTCGGGCTCAGTTGTAATTACTACTATATTTTGGGCGTAAGCCGGTAGACTCTGGGAATTAAGTTATTTTAGCTCCCTTCCTTTGTAATTTTCTTAATCTATTAATGAATGCTTCTGTTATTGATAAAAAAAAGGATGTAATATGATGGTTCACAACTATAGTTAAAGCAACTGATCCCTTAGATTCCAAATTAATGTGAACAGCTCATTCAGATGGGTTCCAAGGTCTGTTCTAGTTAGGGAAGTGTACCTAGAAAGTAATTTATTTGGACCATAAAAACCTACTTTATGAGTTAGGAGTCAGGACCAATATTGGAGGGGGGGGGTCTTTTTCAACCAAGCTCTCTTCTCTAGGAATGGTAACAATTTAATTTAAGAGTCATGATAAAGGTGCACACACTATTAATAGCTGAAAAGGACTTTGCTTAAAAGACATAAGAACACCTATGTATTTGGTAATTTATGTCATAATGAACATAGGTGATGTTTTTGTCTTTTCAAAGGGGGTATCCCCTGTCTATCAAAAACGGGATGTGTTCAAATAAGCACCCCAGTTTGAAATTTGTTCAAGACACTAAGGTATGTAACGCAGTGCATTATGGTTTTATTGTTTACATTTTTTCTTTTTTTTTTTTTGGTCAGAAACAGAAAAATAGATTCATTAGATTAAATATAAGAAATACAACAAGTTGTGGGCAAAAACAAATAACCCAAACAGAAACTATTCACTATTTACAGAACTGTCCAGAACATGGATCATCTCTGAATTCCTTGCTATGCTAAATACTTTTTTTTTCTTTATGATTCCTATACTATTCCATGTTCTAAAACCTAGCATGCTTCATTAATGTCCTAGGAGATTGCATATAAGAAGGGAAAGGAAAGAAAAAATGTAAAAGAGGAAGTCCTAGAAGAAGAGGAAGTTGAATATGCTTTGATGTAAACCTTGGGAATGGAGATGAATATGCACCACTAGGTATTGACAACTATGACAACAGGCCAGAATGGTTATTGTTGTTTGCAAATTGATTTGCCATAGAAAGTTGTTTATTTTTTGTTTTAATAGACTTTGAATAATGAACAATATTGTGTTTTTATCTTGTTTAATGAAGAATTTCTGGGTTTCAGGGACAGTAAGAAAAAGAGATAAGCACATCAGAAACCGAAGTATACAGCTTCATGACCGAAGAGGACATAACAAAGACAAGTATCTCCTCATGACGTATCAGACCAAAATTTGAAGTGGGAACCATTTATATAATGTATGATGAAGAAGGAAAGTTCGGAGATGCATGAATAAGATGGGCTTATTATGATTGAGATGGGCTTATACTGATTGACTAAGTCAATCTACCCACCTCAACTCAAATTAGCCTTAAAATTCATGCATTTGATGTCAGCCATATGAATCCTTTCCTGCCATTATGCTCTACCAAAAGCCATGTTTTCTGTTGAATTACAAGTCTTTAAATGATTTTTTGCCACTTCATACCATGATTTCTCTGGTCTTTTCCTTGCTCTTTTAGAGCCTTCTACTTGAACCAATCCACTCCTCACTGCTGCAATCATTGGTTGTATACATATGAATACACCATGTAAGATAACTTTCCCTCACCTTGTCACTAATTGGAGATACACCTAAATCCTCTCTAATGCACTCATTTTGGATTCTGTCCCTTTTTATCCTGTCAGTTATCTACCTCAAGATTCTCAACAAAGAAAATGCTTGGTGAATAGAGAAGTATAATGGTCCTTACATATAAGAAGAAAAGTGGCATATAAACTTGTAATAGATATTGTGGATTAATCTTATGAACTATAATATGACACTTTAAGAAATGGTGATTGAGCAATGACTAAGTCATGAAACTAGTATATCAGATAACCAATTTGGATTCCATGCCAAGGGAATTAATTATGGGAACTATCAATTTACTGTGAGATTAATAAGAAATTTAGGAAACAAAGAGAGAGCTTAACTTGATGTTTATTGACTTAGAAAAAATATATGATAAGTCCCTAGAGAAGAATATAGGGGGTATTGGGAAAGAAGGGGCTTCAAGCAGGTATATCAGATACCATTAGCAATATGTATTAAGGACAAAAGGGCTATTAAGCAGTGTGAAAACTCAAGAAGGGAGATGAGAACTTTCCAATCACAATAGCAATATGTATTAAGGACAAAAGGGCTATTAACCAGTGTGAAAACTCAAGAAGGGAGATGAGAACTTTCCAATCACAATGGGTTTACACCAAAGGCCAAAACTTATTCCATATCATTTTGCATTAGTTATGAATAAACTAACTAGATATTTACAGGAGATCCCATGTTGTAGTTTGTTTGCTAATGATGTAGCATTGATTGATAATACTAAAGAAATAAAATGGGTAAAATACAAATCTAAAACAATGATAAAAAAATCTAGAACAATAGAGAGATGCCGTAAAATCAAAAGGTTTAAAGAAAAGTTGGATTGAGAGGGAATTACCACTTACAGTACCTTGGATCAATCATCCATAATGAGGGAGAAAGCTAAAGAGGATGTTGTCCATAAAAACGAATAGGGTGGTTGAACTGCATAGGTGCACCCTCTGTGCTGTATGACCAACATACAATGAGACTAAAAGGAAAATTCTATTAAGATAATTATAAGACCAGCATCACTATATAAAATAGTGTTTTTTTATAGGAAATGGTAACTTTCATTAATTAGAAAATCAGATTTACGAACTGTCACCTACAGAAGGAAAAGGTGACCCCTGAACAAAAATCAAGTTACAACACAGCCCAAAACAAAGACTCTCTATTCACCCCTTGCTTTTCTAGTAAGTCAGCTAAAGCATTTGCTGACCTCCTAGTCCAACTAACAACTACATCCAGCTCCCTTGTAAGGCTCCACAATTCTCTTACAGCTTGTCTTAGGGACCAAGTTCCCAGACTATTTGTTTGCATCCACCCTACTACTAACTTTGAGTCTCCCTCTACGTCTAGCTGTTGCATACCCAATTGCTTAGCCAATCTGAGCCCCTGAAGGAGGACCAACACTTCTGCTCTAAACAAGTCCCCCACACCTATTGGACCGGAGTACATAGCTAGGAATCTTCCTCCCTCATCTCTAAACACACCCCCAATCCAAATGGTCTAGGGTGTAATACCATGGACTCTGATCGATTAGTCCAGTCTCCAAAGGTCTGGGGAGAGAGAATGGTGGGGAAAAGAGAGGAGGAAGAGAGATTGTTCTAGGGTTAGGGCTACATGCTCGTGTTTGATGGGGGAGGAGAATTGTTCTCCTCCTATCTAAGAGGGTCATCCCCCTTTTATAGTTGTGTTACTAGGGTTAAAAAGAGGTGTCGAGGAAGTGCACTTCCACTTTCAGCAAGGTGTTCATGATTTACTAAAGTGTTTATCGAGGTTTTACTACGTGTCCGATGAGGATCTTTTGGGACTAGGGTTTTCATATCCACTAAGATTCTCACATGGGTGTGTTTCTAACTTCAGCCCCTTTTATGCTTGCCCAAGATCCCATATCGGGAATGATCGCGAATCCCTGCGATTATGCGTTCAATGATTTTAACGGCAAATGTAATGTTCGTCACAGCTCGTATTGTGATTACCTTTGTGCTATCAGGATCCTCATTGTAACCAATGTGATGGTAAACTACATGTACTTACACAG